TCGGTGGAGTTTTTTGGCTCGATGGGTCGAAGAGCTGATTTGGTTCCTTTCAGAAACCAAGCCAAATCGATTAGCGTCACACCCAAAGTACGGTTTACACGCACGAGTTCCGCCGAATGACGACGCCCAGGGGTTAAAGTGGAGTCAAGTTGACTGATTAGTTACAACCGCATCCGGCAGAGCAACGTGAGGGTCGAATTATCCAGCCAGTTGGCCACTTTCCCAGACATGACTCTTAGCACTTTATGGTAAGCTCAAGCGCGTCAGATATATTACGGGAGGAGGAATGTGATGCTCTGTTGGGGGAAGGGGTCCTTACTGACGCTTGCGGTGAGGAGTCAAAAGTAGTCAAATAATCGGGTCGTCGTTGCAGACGGTATTAGGGTTAAACTGACGTTTTGGGTTGGGGTTAGAGTGAGGGTTCAGCTGCAGTTTGCATTTAGTACTAGGATTGGTCTTATCATCGTTGTTAGAATGAGGGTTACGGTTCCGCTTAGCGATTATGGGTTGCCGTTCGGTGTAGGTTTGGCTTACAAATATACTAGCCCTTGAGGTCAGCCTAGTCGTAACGCGTTCACTGTCAACTTCCGCCTGTCGTGGCTGTTTACATTATCTTCAGGATTATGGTCAAGCCCCGGTTGGCAATATGGGCCAAACCTGCTGGCATGTTGTATTTACTACTATGCTTAGGTTTGACAATATCTCGACGATTTCTACGCGGTTTTGCATAGTGTTTTCTACTGTTCCATGAGTTGCGGAGCACGGAACAAGTCTCACATCTTACAATCGGCTAGATTAGCTTAAATCCATGAAATAGCTACTGGTGCAGGTGCGAACATACGTGTCTCGATCATTTCACATTTAAATCGCCCGACCATTAGATAAACCGGAAGAGTTCGTGTGCATCTTCTGAGGGCCCACCACACAGGAGTAGGGTGCGTGGCCATGAACTGAGAGTAGACTTTTTCGATACAAACTGCTAAACTCTGCAGAAATAGCCGACCGACAAAGTGCCGCTAATTCAGTCAACCATTTCTTTGGTCAAAACCTGATTTTATTGCGGAACCTCTTTTTCATCGCTCCAGTGAATTACTTTTATTTCAAAAACCGAAGTAATTTAGTTATAATGGAGGTAAAAATACACCCAATACAATGGCCGTCATAAGACCTCGCACTCTCTTAGAGATGTTATGCTACCGATTATGACTATCAAACAAGCTATCGCAACTGGTCAACGGTACACCTTATCGTACAAAAGCATAATATCAACGTGCCGTTATTTAGCTAGGTAGGTAGCTAGCATACACTTGTCTGTTCATAGAAAACTGACATGGCTGAAGGAGAGCGTGCCTGTGAACCCCGCTCTTCTCCAACGCATGTGTAGCCAAGTATCACAACTTAAAGTGAGCTATGTTCGTTTTAAACCATAAAAGCTTAAAACTGCAGCTGGAAAAGTAGGTAAGGATGGCACAAACATAATAAATCCACAATAAATCATGATAGGGCGACTGTAAAGTTTTATCATATATGTGAGTGAATCGCAGTGACCAGAACTACAATCAACTAAACCGCCTTTTAAGTTAGACTTCATCGAATGACAGACAAGCAGACAATTGCATAGGGGTATGGGGTGCAATTTATAAATGCCTGTTTGGTGCAGTGTATGACAAACTCGTCAGGACGTCAGACAAAGAATATACAAACCTTCTACACTAGCGGTCATATAATTTGCCTCTTTACAAAGTAAGCTAATAGGCTGGTCCACGCTGACAGAACATTTTAAAATGCCTGAATAATGGTCAGCCTAAATGACTACCTAATCCGGATAGCTCTCAAAATCACTGTAAATGTGGTAGCTAAACCCATGCCAAGGAGCATTGCACCAAGATGATACATACAATAAGCATTTAGTCTGGCATAATAGACTACGCCATCCACATCAACTTGTCCTCCAACGCAGACAGTTGAAAGTGCTTAGGAGATGAGTGCTAAGGTTCATAGTTGGTATCCGAGGTGTGCATTCTCATGAATAAATGAAAATGGGCAGTATATTTTTGTTCACTGTAAGAAGGTTTGCTATCAAACTCGTGTTGGGGAGAGGAGTGCAGTTGAAATTGAAAGTTAAGCAGGGAATCTAGGTTTCAGCAGCGTCACATATAACGAACTATCTCCCATATCCCATAATAGAGCTACACATACTGCACAGGTATGTGAGTTGGCACTGTGCGTTATGAGAAGCGCTGAGAATCAAGGTAGGTTAACTTCATAGGTTGGGATGCTTTTAACGGTAATTGAGAGACTAGTCTGAGACGCAGTGTTGGTCGTGGAAGGGTGAATAAGGAGGCATCCAATTGGAATAAACCGGCAGGGAACATGTGCCCACCGAGTCGAGCAAAGTATACCGCTGACGATGGAGGAATCTCAGTGGGTCTTACGATTAGTTAACGTCTCAAAATCACACTGTAGTCAATTACTGCATTTTTTACAGCCTGAAGTTGAGCTCACTCTGTCTTTCGTGGACAAAATGACTTCACAGGCAACACTACCGTTACTAAAGTTCCTCAACTTTTGATCCCTTGGTTCCGTGAGTGGAAAAACGGTCC